TACCTACAAACATATATAGAACTAATAAAATGGTTTGTCAATGAACACCCTCTTGGTTACATGTTATAGAGCTGAGTGTGCATGGCAGTGTCTGAAAGTACTGTTATTTGATCCCTATCTCTCCCCCACCCCTTCTCTCTCTCTCTCTCTCTCTCTCTCTCTCTCTCTCTCTCTCTCTCTCTCTCTCTCTCTCTCTCTCTCTCTCTCTTTATATCCCCTCCGTTGAAATACACTTAACAATTGATTGACATAGAGTATTTTTATGACTAACTCAAATGATTGTTTATGAAACTGACTGACAAAAGCTTACTTCTGTTTGACTGTAAACTGTGCTCTTAAAAGCAATCCTAGGTTCGGATAAGCTCCTTGGTTTACAATATACTGAAATTAAAGCATTACATCCATAACACAAATAAAGTAATGCTTTCAAAACAACAGATTGTTTGAGGTTACGTCCAAGACAACAGAGAGTAAAGAAGTGATGTACAGAACTCCTCTCCACTAGTCATTTCTTATAGCCGATGTGATGATTCTGGTAAGCCAGGCGTTGGCTCATTTCTGATTAATTTATTAATTCCTGACTTATCCATCTAACTGTACAGCTTGTCAACATTAAGCTCTCTCTCGTATTTTCCGAGATCCTTAGAGTCAGTCGCCCCCAGTTTTCTGAGTGTTTTAGTTGTCTCTTCCCCTTCCCTCTTATCGAATAAAGATTGTTTTAAATCACTGTAATTCCAGCAGTTCCCTCCTTTATGCCTTGCTGTTCAAGGACATCACTGTTATGTTTTCGTAGCATGGCATTTCCATTTTACTATTCCGTAATGCCTTGTGATTGAAAGCTTACCAATCAAGAGGTTACGAGAAAGTAGGGCAAATGTAGCGGAGATAAGATTAGTGATATGTAGATAAAATCAGGAATGAGAGGATAAGAGGGAAGACGAAAGTGACAGAAATATCCTAGAAAAAGCAGTGGCTTGAACAGGTGGGAATGCGGATGATGGAGCTGGAAACAGAAGATAGAAGGAAGAGAGGGCGATCAAGGAGGTAGAAAGACTGTGTGTAATAAAATTTTTAACGAGTTAGAATAATGAATAAAAATATGTAGTGCTGAAACGATGGAGGGAAGAAACAGGTAAATATGATAGAAATTGCTGAAGAAAAAAGATCGCCCTTTAAATCTGATCCTTCCACTGTGGAAATAGGTTCCTTTAACTTTTTTTTCTGCCCCTGTAGTATATATAGTATAAAAAAAAAAACTTTTCGCCGGTAAGCTAACCATGTAGTATGTAGTACTACAAAAACTTTCTAGACTTTTTAATGCGTCTGGTATACTTGTGCTTCCTACAGTGCATCCTTTGTTTTTTGTGTTTTTTTCGACGGTTTAAACAGAATCAAGCCTGGGTCTCTGAAGGTAAGATGTACCTTGGAGCTTAATTATTTCCCGACGTCTGTTATCCCAACCGTTTTCTATTGGTGGAAATTCAGACTCCCATTTTCTAAACTTGCCAACAAAAAGGTGCGGTTTGTTAGTCACTGCAACAATGGATGTTCTTATGAACTTAAACAAATTAACCACGACGCTTTGCCTCCATCTTCAGAGAACTTTTTGTTTCTGCTCCACTCATGCCAGTTTGCCCATTTTTCAACCTCCTCATCGCTCTAAGAAGAGGTAAACATTCTTCTTTTGTAATTACGTTTATCATGTTATTATTTGCAAGTGTCACTTCGTTGCAGGCTTGTTTATGGAGGCAGTCTAGGTCTTTACTATAGATTTTATGCTCAGTTTTTATATGTATTTCATGTTTTCTTTGTTTTAAGTAGTTATAAGTATAGTATCTTACCGTTTCGAAATGTATTTCGTTTCATATAAATGTCAATGCATTTTAATCAAAGTGTGAGTGTATAGCTTCCTTCTACAATTGATGTTCATAACAGAACAATATCAGCAAATCTGCAAAAGCTGTTTTTGTTAATTATAGACTCTAAGCCAATCCTACCAATCTTCATCTGGCTGTTCTCATTACACTTGAGAAGTCCCACTAAAGTCTGTAAATCGTCACACTAACAATATGTACAAGTGCAAATTATTCCACTCTAAATAACGCAAGGGTAAATAATAGAATTATGTAACCCAACCCTTCGATATAAATGGTCCATCAAAACTTCAATGATGTATTGCAATAAAAGTAATAACAATGTATAATGAAAATTAAGAATCCCGTTGACAATCATACCAAAACAGATTATGAACACTCTTTTTCCCATCAATAATCAACGAAGACATAATGTACCACAGTAAAAGAAATATTACTCACCCAGAAAGCAACACCAAACCGATCCTTCATTTTCAAGTAAACAAAACAAATTCATTCGCAAACAGGAAAAAAAAACGAAAATGAAAAAAAAAACGTAATATCCGCAACGTTCTTCGATCAGGATCAGCAGGGAAGTGTTCACGAGAGAGAGGGAGAGCAGATTAGTGTGAAAATCAAGTATAATG